AAGCACAGAGGGCTCTACTCTTTGGAAGGAAAGGGCTCTACTCTTTGGGCAAAGGAGGGCAGGTGGAAGGCAGCGTGGCCTGTGGAACGGTCCAGGCAGCTGAGCCAGGGGATACAGAACAGGCCATTTGGTCTCTGAATGTCAGTTTCTTCTTTGTAAAATGGGCTTGATAACTCATGGCTGGGCGTAGCATGTCTCAGAATATTTTAGTTCTCTCACAGGACTTCCCATGAGATAGGATCCCAGACCGCCAGTCAAGGCTCTCTCTCTCAGCTCAAACCCTGGCTAGGCAGATATGGTCAGTATCTATCCCGACAGGTGGCAGACTATGTGACCTTGGGAAATGATTTAGCCTCTCTGGGCCTCAGAGTTTTGACCAGTTTTGTTCTGAAGACGGAATGGGGATTGCCAACACTGAGCCAGAATTTAAGAATCTCTAAAGCTCAATAAACTAGCAACTCCCTCTATCACCTCCACCCCTCCCAGCACCCAGAATTTTGTTTCTCAGGGGGGTGGGAAACTGGGGCAAAGTAAAAAGAGGAAGCCAGAAGCCCCAGGATTATGGAAAATGAAAATAAGCTTGGCTTGGTCTGGCCGTCTGGGATATGAACAAGGCCCTCCCAGGAGGTCTAGCCAGGTGGCTGGTGTTCCGATTGTCTTGTCTGGTTAAGACCAATCAATAATGCTCAGCTTTTGGTCGGATGCATTTCCCTGGCCTCAGGTCCAATGGCACCAGAGACAGAGTGTCAAATAACAGAGAGGGACGAGGACCAGTCACCAGTGTGACTGCAGCTGCCAAAGGAACCTGAGCAGGATGGAAGTCCAGCCTGGAGGCTCCAGCTATTCATCAGGATGGGAAGGGCACAACCAGAGCCTCCTCCTTGCACCTCTGCCCCATCAACCCTTCCACTCCAGTCTCCCTGGACAGGCACTTGGGCACAGAGCAGGCGCTCTGCATCACTAGCAGACACCACACAAGGCCAACGGCATGTGTGACAGCCCTGCCCACCTCACCAACAGCAGAGGCTGCTGGAATCAGCCAATGTCAAGTCCAGGCTCCATCACTGACTGCCTACCAAACCTGTTCCCCCATTTGCAAAAGAGCCATAAATGATCCTGTCCTAACTCCTAGGGCCAAAGAGCTCCTGAGATGATCAGTGTGGAAGAGTGTGACGCGGGAAGGAGAGAATTAACTAAGCACGTCCCCAGATCATCTCTTCTAATAACAATAATCCTGAAGGCACGTACTATTATCGCCCCATTTTATAACCAAGCGTGCTTCAGTTCAGAAAGGCCACCTCTCCTGCCTGAGGTCACAGAGCTGGTAAGTGTCAGGGCCAGGCAGGGACTTGTGACTCCAGACCCAGGCTTTTCACCTGTCTACACACAGTTTCCATGCTGCACTCACAGCTTTAGTGAAAGCTCTTCACGAAAGTCAGGGGCTGTTGTCATTATTTCTTACAAAACCCAAGGCTGTGAGAGGTTTTTCTTTTCACTCTGCCTCTCTTTTTCTTGATGTGAAGAAAAGCAAACTACAGTCTGCTAATTTCTGCAGTCTCAGACAATCAGAATTCCAACCGTCTGGGAGAGCCAACCTAAGAAAGCAAGAATTAATCTTTTCAAAGCTAACGTCTTGGAGGCGTCACAGTAGTATTTGGGTTGGATGTAACCTTGCTATCGTAACGCAGATGAAACCCCAAATTTAATAAGGCTAAGACAACTCCGACAACATAAGAAACATAACAGGATATTGCAAAGAGATTAGGGGGCTTCCTCTGGACTGCGTGGATGAGCTGGGGTGGGGGATGGATGTTGTGGTCTACTCTGGGAGCCAGTGAGGTGGGTCCAGGTCCCAGGCCTGGCTGAGGGCTAAGAGGCCTGGGCAGAGGGGAGCTGGGCTCCTCCTGACACCTCAAGGCCCGAGGCCTGCCTGGTGCGGGAGTGGAGGCTTCACACTTAGCTAAATGTAAACCAGCTGCAGGACCGGAGTGCTACAGTTGGATGGGGTGGGGAAGGCTTACCTCATGAAAGGACTGTGGAAACGGCTGCTGGAAAGATAATAAAAGGATTAACTGCTATTTTAGTGGGCCATTTACTCTTCAATCAAAGTGTCTCATCTATTTCCTGTTCTCCAGAGGCTCCGGGTCCAAAATTCCTTTGTCTATTACAGCACATGGTAGCAGAGGCCTGTCATGAGAAATTAATAATTTTACAGGGAAGGATGATTTTATTTATCTGGGTGCAGGCTGGAGGCCGCCCCTTCCCAGGGGTTGCCCGCTGTGCCAGCATCTTAGGAAAGGGGGCGCGCTCCCATAGCGGGCAGGGAGGGGCTCAGGGGAGACCTCTGCTACCATCTCCAGACGGTGGGACCTAGAAGGTCTGGCCCCATGACCCCAGAGAATAATCAGTTGAACAGGAGAAAATCTACAAAAATGAGAGCAACACAGTTTAGAAAGATGCGGTTCAAATTCCACTCCAATGGTTACTAGCTGGATAACTTTGGGCAGGTGATATTTATTTATTGTTGTTATTATTATCACTATCATGATTACTAGCCACTATTGTTGTTGTTGTTATTGTTCATCTCTAGCTGTGTGACCTGGGCAAATTATGCAATCTCTCTGAGCCTCAGTTTCCTCATCTGTAAAACGGGGGCTCTAATAGTATCTACCCTAGAGGGTAGTTGTAAGGACAACACAGAGTTACTGATCAGAAGAGCCCCTGAAACACGGTCAGCACTCAGAAGCTGCTTGCCAGTATTATCACCATAATCCCAAACTCCAAAGAGGCAAGACAAAGTGTTCTTATAGTAGCAAGTGGAAGGCCAGCTAGACCCCATTGAACCTTTGTTTCTTCACCTGTAAAAAAAACTTGGTTTCACAGGATTCTTGTGAAGATGACATGGGTGAGTATAGTCACAGCTTTAACATCACTTCCTTAAAGCCCTTCTGGGCCTCCCCTCCTTGAACCTAGGCAAACTCCATCCCAAAACCTGTCACTGATCTCCACACCCATCTCCCACCCATCCCTGACTGTGAGTGCCCCCAGGGCAAGAAACTTGGCAGGCCTGGGTCTGGGTACCCAAAGTCAGGCATGAGCCAGGTGTAAGCCAGTGTGTTCTGTGGAGTCCCCTGAATCAAACGAGATCCTGGCAGGCTGGCCCAGAAGAAAGAACTCTAGAGAGAGATACAGAGACTACACTGAGTGATCTGGGTTTCTCTGACCCACTTGCTGGTCCTCTATTTACCAAACTAGAAAATGGGCAGTGAAAGCCTCAATCATTTCCAAGGGTCCTAATGTGCAGCACAAATACTCCTGGATGCTGTGGTTCCACCAGAAAGCCCTACTGTGAGAAGGCCACCGACCGCACCATGCCAGGGATTAGGCCATGTAGCCTCCACAGAGGTCCCCACATACACCAGTGGGATCACCCACAGGAAAGAAGACATGAAGGAGAACTGTAGCTCAGCAGCTGGCAGCTCCAGGGTCTCAGAGAGAGACAGGGTCCTCTGTCGTCCAGCAGCCCTGGGCTGTGATGTCTATTGGTCCTCTCCTTCCAAGCAGAGACATGCCTTTCAGCAAGCTACATGTCATGACACCCCAAGTGAACTGGAGCATCCCCAGAGTGTAGCCCGGCCACCAGCTCTCCCTCCAGCATACTCTTGGGCCAAAGGCATGTGATAAACTCAAATTCTCAGTCTGCTCACTCCAGCCTCTCCCCACAATACCAGCACAACAACCACACAGTTTGTTCACTGCCCCTCACTTGTCTATAAAGTGACCCCCTCATCCTCAAGGCCCAGCCTCCTTGCAGCTGAATAGCCTGGGTCAGTGGATGCCCCCCTCACAGCAACACAAGCAGGCAGGGACCAAAGGGCAAATACCTGATCCCAGTGGGATGGAGTTTAGGCTGCCAGTTGCCAATGCTTCCTGCCTCCTCCTTGGTCCCTTCAAATGCTGCCCTGGGCTTTGAGCAGGGACAGATATGTGCCCGTTCCCACTGCACCCATTCCCATAGAGTGCCTCAGGCAGGGCCCAGTGACAGTGACAGTGACAGCACAGTGTGGAGGAACTCAGTCTTGGCTATGACACTGGCCTACAGACAGACACACTGCTTCCTCCCTCTGCCTCTCCAATGCCCCAAACGGTGGGTACTGGTAGTTCCACCAGCCCTTCGACTCCAGGCAGGTGCCTCTCCTGGTGGGCTGTCTGGGCCTTGGTGATAGTGGCCCAGCTGATAGTACCAGGGACTCAGCCTGTATTCTTCTGATATGGATTTCCACCACAGTGAGAGCAGATACAGAAATGGTTAGTGGGAATGACCAGAGGACCAGGTGCCTGCAGTTGTGTGTGTGTGTGTGTGTGTGTGTATGTGTGTGTGTGTGTGTGTGAACCCCAGCCAGAACACTGCAAGTGCTATCCAGGGCCTCATCTGTTAACCCTCGGCCATATCCCAAAGCCTGACCCAGAGACCCACAACTCTTAAGCTGGATCCCTATGAGGACCCAGTGCTCCTTACAGGAAGCCCGTCAAGCCTACAGGCTTCTCTAGGAAGCCCAAGGAGCCTCCCTGGGAAGGAAGCTGGGTGAAGATCCAGCAGGACAGCTTGCTCCCCACAACTCATTTGGCCATCAGCACATGAGACACTGAGCAAATGCATGTAAGAGAGAGTGCTGGTGAGCTTACTTTGAGCTCAGAGCATGTGTGTCACCACTTAACCATGTGTGTGCAACACCAGGCCACGTAGTATGCCTTCGGGTGGGGGATGGGGCACATGGTAAGTACGAGGGGCCCTCTGCCAAGCTTCCCAGTAATAGGTGCACTGACCGCCCTAACCAGTGGCCACAGCCATAGCATTCTTCCTTCCCTCCTTACTCAGCCACAGGGGATCTCAGCCAGGCCCCTAGGTAAGGAGGCCCAGGTATGCCTCTCAGGCAATGAGATGGGTGCTGCTCTGCCAGGGTCGGGCTAGACATGGCCTAGTGGCCATGGGAACTCACCATGCACTTGTTGGGCTTCTCACCGGAGTGCACCCTCATGTGGATGAGCAGTTTGTAGCGGGCGTTGAAGGGCTTGTAGCGGCGCACACAGCCTGCCCAGAAGCAGGTGAAGTCCTCACCCTTACGCTGGTCGATGTGGCTCTTCTCGATGTGCCGCACCAGCTCCTCCTGTTGCTCGTAAGCTGCACAGCAGTCCACCCACCTGCATGCCTGCCGCCCAGCCACCCTCCCTGCCAGGCCCAGCCCCAGGCCTCCAAGGCCAGGGCCTGATGGCAACTGGGGCAAGGGGTAAGGGGGCGGCAGGCCGGGCTGGTGAGGCCCAAAGAGCTCTGAGAACTCATCCGCAGGCTCCTGCTTCAGGAAACCGGACTTCTGGCAGGATTCAAGTTGCAAACTGGCCTCATGACTCTCAGTGGTTGCAGGGCCTGGCTGGGTGCGCTTGGAAGGGCCCCCCAGGTCTCCCGGCAGAGGGGGGCTCCGGAGTCCATTTATGCAGGTGACCAGAGCAGTCTGGGAGGAGCGGATGATGGAGGTGATGTCGGAGGAGGCACAGGGTGAGGAGGAGGCCGAGGAGGTGGCAGGCAGGCCCAGGAGGCAGCAGCGCTTCAGGCCGCCCTCGGAGAGGTGGGCCTCAGGTGGGGGGCCCAGGCCAGAGCCGGGTTCGCTGCCTAGAAGGTAGCAGGAAGGTGCGGGGTTGGTGAGGCCTCGGCCTGGGAGGTCCAGGTCTGTGTGCGGGCCGGCGGCTGGTGGGGCCCGGCAGTGGGCAGGCAGGGGTACCCGAGCTTCCATCATGGCCCGGTAGACCGGCAGGGATTCCTGCTTGATGTGCTGTGTGGCCGGGAGGCTGCCATTCACATATGTGGCCTGGGGTCTGGGTGACCTGGAAGACAGTGGCCAAGAGGCCATGAGAGGGTGGGCACTCCACAGCGGGGAGGCCCAGGCAGGGGATGGTGAGGAACCTGAGGGTTGGGGGAGGGGAAGCCCAG